GAAATGCAGCTTAACAGTTTTTGACATGACCATATCATTCATACAACAGATTAACAGTGTTTGAAATTAAGGGAGTCCCAGGGTCCTTCAGGTCTTACCTACCAGAGTATTCGAAACTAGGGACAACTAAAATGTTTACCTTTTAACATCCTGGTTATGACAAGTACCCCCAGACTTTCATGCTTCATGTCAAAGACTGGATTCAGGTTTACAGACTGGAAGAGTGAGTGAGTGAAGTGGGTTTAACGCCGCTTTTAACAGTATTCCAGTTATATCACAGCATGTCAGCTTAATGTGGGAGGAAAGCCCGAAGTGATGCAGGTCTCAGACATTTACCACTTCGGTGAAACCCACGAGCACGGGTATCAATGGGGTATGGTGCTGACAAACCTAGAAACATAATCGAGCAGACCGGGATTCGAACCCACAATCATAGGTTTCTGGCGTGCCCAAGGGACGCAACTCAGCAAAGCAAATCGCTGCGCCTTAGACAACTAGGCCACCCAAGACCCCACAGACTGGAAGACATCACTGACAATGATACAGTGATTATCTGTGTCCACGCTACCTACCCCAACAACCATGGGGGAATTAGCAAGAAATGGACTGAATAAAGGTTGATCAGACCCCAAATTGCAACATACTACGTCTGCTTGCATCACTGCTGAAATTGTTTCAGTTGGAAACTTTATCTCTAGAGATTTCAAAATAACTGCCTTGATTCTAGAAGTGACACATGAGACATGGGAGCATGTAAGAGCATTCATTTCCAAGGATCAAACAGATTACATTTCCATACTTTTCCTCACTGAACAAAATGCAAGCTGCACAAGCTCTCTGTTGGGCATGTTGGGGAGAATATCTTGCTGTTCAAAAATACCACAGATAATTAAACTTTTAAATAAAGCATTAAATGTCAGCTACAAGAGTAGAACTTGTTATTAGTAAAAATATCCCTATGAAGTAAAACATGAAATATGAACTTGTAGCCAAAATAATATTCTCACTATTTGTGCTCAGTAATCCAGGGAAGGTCTGTTAGAAATACAATGCTAAGGCATTATGTCCATCTGTCAAAAAGGTCTTGATTATTGAAACAGCACATGGCCCAATGACCTTCCAACAGAAATTATTATTATTATAATGTTAAGCATGTCTAACATTGTTAGACATGGATGTGATAACTATTAATTATTGTGATAAGTTATCTGTAAAATCGGAGGATGAATTTTGACACTTAGGTGCTAGCCTGTGGCAGGATACAAAATGTTAAAAGTATCTTCTGGGCCTATTGGCTTTCATGCACATCAGGTGCTTTCCTTCCATGATCCTTGTATTACTATTTAAGTTTATTGACCTTCTATCACTGAACAAGCCTTCCTAAATTGATGAATATTTGTTACAAAAACTGATTTGGAGGTGAAGGAAATGTGGTCATGTTAAACGTAATGAAATATACATATATGTAGTGTCAGAAATTAAGCATGAGAGGCCTCAGTGTTCAACATTTCGAGTCCCAGGGCACCCTAGATTCACATGGCATAGCAGTGAACTTCAAGGACTCATCTTAATTTTAACACTGTAATATCCTTACAAGCTCAAATTACACCACAATTCCTTCTGCTCCAATTCAAAATTCAACATTTCGAGCAAGTGCATGAGCATGAAGACAACCTTAACCATTTAGTTCAGAAAGTCATCAAATACATATGCAACAAGTTACATTACAATAATCCAACAAATGTTTGCCTTTTCATTTTGGACCAATTTCCCATATCAATGGCTGCATGTTTTTTTTGCAAACATACCAGTGTGTGTTTTGATATACAAATGAAATGAAACCAAAGAGAAAACAAACAAAATATGAACACATTCATAAGGAACGTCCCGGAATCCTCCAAACATTCGTTCATGTCACAGACACATGGTTAGTTAGTCATGGGTTGTCATGTCAAGACATGAGTTATCTCCCCTTCTCCAGCTGGACCAGGTTTCCCCACCCACATCACCTCCTTACCCCACCCCCTCTGACAACACTATCTATTACTTCCCTTGTGACTCACACAATTACAATCTCCACCTAGAGAGAAGTTGAGATATGATTACTGTTATCCTGCACAAAGCAAACACAAGCCAAGGTAAATTTAGGAAATTGTCTGGACTGTAAGTATGCATGGGGTTGGGTTGTTAGCAAGGGACTGGAAACACGCTGTTATTGTTTAAAAACAACCAATATGTTGTAACCAATATATGAATGTCTACACCAGAAAAGGAATTTCTGTAAAAACATTCTGATATTACCCCTTCAAATTTATATCTGGGATTTTGTTTAAAATGGTTGTGAAACATTTTGGGAATTTTCCTGGATGGGTCGATTTTAAGTGTATCAAGACCAATCCAGTTTCAGAAAAGACAAGACAACCTCAGAAATATTATTCACATGAAACACTTAATTTTACTTACTTTACTTGTCACTTGCCACCATATTTATCAAAGTGTACATCTTACATTTTACTTATTCAAAATTATCCGACTTATGTACTGAAACAGAATATCAAATAAAAAATATATTGTAAAATTTTCCGACTACAAAGGTTAGAATTATTATCTAGAAGAATAACATTGGCCCCAATAACACTTGATGAGTGGAAGAATAAATTCAAGCATGTTGGTCCTCTGTGCTTGGATACAAAAAGGCACATCAACAGAAGTGACATTTTGAACAAATCTTGAGTCAAATGTCAGATTTACAATCCAGTTTCAAATGCATTAACCCACATTGTCCCAAAAACAGACATGATTAAATACTTGCAAGTAATTATGCCCATCCCTACACCAATGGGCATGTCCCACGTCAACAGAAAAGCCATTTACGTAACCTATACGTATGTCACTTAGGAGAAATTAAAACATGTGAACTGCCATTTAAGACTAATTTAAGATCGGTAATGTTTGTTTCTAGACCTGACCTGCCTTGAGAGAAGCATTTGTGATGGATGAGCGCTACGAGGTCAAGGTGAAGTCTGTAATTTAAGCTGTTCATCACCTCTGCTGGCTGACACATACACTGTATTACCATATAATTGTCACAATTCTATCTTCCATTTAGACAGTTAAATGTGCAGACAATGTTTTCATTACAATCCTTTGTATTCATAACAAGGTCATTTTGACAATTCAACAAACTTGGAGCTTCTATATCAACATGTATTTATTATCGTCAACACTATTTGTACCAAAACCTTACCTTGTTGTTGGACCATGATTCCAATATAGAATCATCAACAGAATGGTTTATAGAACTCCAGATAAGCTTTTAGTGTTGTGGGTATTTTACCCATGCATTTTAAAATCATTGGGTATCAGGAATTCTATCTGGGTATTCAAATTTCTGTTACCCACTAGTTTTTACACATGTGGGTATTTAAGTTAAATATTTAAAAACACTATTTATCTAGTCTCTGCAAACTGGTGTCGTGTGGGTTCGAGAGCTTTATAGGACTCAAAAATACCACGATACTTCCACAATAAAGTGTGATGGCAAATGATCATGATGTAACTGTCATCGTGGAGTTTGGCAAGGTTGACGGAATACCCATTTATAATTTCAAAATAAGTTGCTGATTTGCTAATCGAATACGCAGGGTTACTTCAAAATATTTTGATGATACGCACAAGTTTTATTTTTGTAGCATATCAGTAATGTTCGTTGCATATTTGATAGGCTTGGATTTTATTTTACTGCGTATTTCTGCATTTCTGATGCGTATTTTACGCAGATACGAAGCTCATTAGGAGCTCTGGGTAACCATTCATCAAAAGACTCAGTGTCTGGCTTTTGGGAGAGTAAGACTTCACAACCCTTTAAGCAATATACCAGCACCATGATCATCATTGTTGGTGGAGAAAAACTGGAAGAGGCTTGCCAAATTGTACCTGTGTTAGGAATTTAACCCAAGTCTCAAGTAGGCACCAACACACCTGCAAGAGGTGTGCCGCAATGTACCCATGTTAGGAACTGACCCCATCTCTTGAGTGCAACAAGTCAGCTCACCCAGAAGAGGCTTGCCACAATGTACCCATGTTAGGAACTGACCCCATCTCCTGAGTGCAACAAGTCAGCTCACCCAGAATAGGCTTGCCACAATGTACCCATGTTAGGAACTGACCCCATCTCTTGAGTGCAACAAGTCAGCTCACCAAGAAGAGGCTTGCCACAATGTACCCATGTTAGGAACTGACCCCATCTCTTGAGTGCAACAAGTCAGCTCACCCAGAAGAGGCTTGCCACAATGTATCCATGTTAGGAACTGACTCCATCTCTTGAGTGCAACAAGTCAGCTCACCCAGATGAGGCTTGCCACAATGTACCCATGTTAGGAATTGACCCCATCTCTTGAGTGCAACAAGTCAGCTCACCCAGAAGAGGCTTGCCACAATGTACCCGTGTTAGGAATTGACCCCATCTCTTGAGTGCAACAATTCAGCTCACCCAGAAGAGGCTTGCCACAATGTACCCATGTTAGGAACTGACCCCATCTCTTGAGTGCAACAAGTCAGCTCACCCAGAAGAGGCTTGCCACAATGTACCCATGTTAGAAATTGACCCCATCTCTTGAGTGCAACAAGTCAGCTCACCCAGAAAAGGCTTGCCACAATGTACACATGTTAGGAATTGACCCCATCTCTTGAGTGCAACAAGTCAGCTCACCCAGAATAGGCTTGCCACAATTTACCCATGTAAGGAATTGAACCCAGTGCACAAGTACAACAAGCCAATGATCCCAAAAGCTAGCCACACTGTACCCATGTACCACATTATTCACAAGCCAATGCTTATTCACAAGCAATTCAACCGTCCCTGATTACTTACATCAGATAGCTCAGCAGCCTACATAGCTAGTAGTAGCATATGATGTGTCTTGCTGCACATGAAAACTTATCAGATCTAAAAAATGATTGTGTGGTACACATCCTAATATATATCCTAGAATACCAACCTCAGATTCTGGTATCCGAATGTCCTTTGAAATCCTGTGTCGTAAGTCTCTGACTGACTCAAAAGTATTCATACGCAGTCCTATTTTCAGCTGTTTCTGTCCTGAGTACACAACATTGACAAAGACTGGTCGAGGACATTTCTGTGGAAGCGGCAGTGATACACACAGGTAAGGGTCAAATGTGTTGCTGTGCTTCCCACAGTGGGGACACGTCAGTGACGACCGATGGAGCCCCTTGAAGAGATGTGACACAAAACTTCCCTGACTTGAGGACAGTGCCTCATTGGCCAACTCCTCGTCAGGTCGCATTGCTGTATTCTGAAACAAAAGCAAACAATAACAAGTGAGTTTTAAGACACTTTTAGCAATGTTCCATAATATCATGGTTGAGAATCGAAACCCCGACCTTAGATGAGCAAACCACTAGGCTAAAACACAAGTTGTAGAAATCTCTCATTTCATGTTCATAACAAATGGCAGCCAATCAACAGAGTAGTGTTTATTTTGTTAAGTTTATGTTATTATTTTGCTTTTCACTAAGCTTCTTCAGTGCCACAACTGTCATAACGCCGATAGCCTAAGTCTCGGCGCTACAGTCACATTGTGCAATGGAGGGCTGGCTTCTGTTTAGCAAGTTGGTTTCACTTTGATATGGAGCAGGCACAGACGCCCTGATTAAGGTAATTGTTCCACGGATTGATTCTTAACTAATTGCCCCTGGCAAGCAAATTGGGAAAAAGCCATTAGTTTGTACAAAACAAAGAGGGATTTTGAGATTGCATTTAATGGAATAAAGCTTTATACCTGTTCCTATTTATTGGTCTTGTTATAAGTGAACAAAGGTTACTTCTACAAAGCCATAAAATTAGTTATTAGTTATATATAATATTAATACATTGTAAGATGAATTGGAAAAATGTTAAGTTCCAAATTGGGAATATTTTATTTACATTTACTGTAGAATTGGGGCCAAATATCAGCCTCTGAGCAGATCTTCATAAATCCCTGAATTTCCAGTGGTCAAGTGGTTTATCATGCTTACTTCTATATTTTGGGCGGAGCTGTGACCCTGGCCCCATGTCTAAATCTGAGTCAAGTGAAGTAACTTTCAATCTAGTAATCTTAGGCGAGGTGAGATGAAATGAGGGTTGACGCTGTGTTTAAGATTACTGCACTTACATAGCCACATGTGTAAGCATATGTGGCTGCTTGAACTAGTCCTGACTAATGCTGGTTTTATAGTTCTATCCCAACTATATGTTATGCCACAGGTTAACTAACATAAACAGCATCATAACTCCGAGATGACCAGTCCATGTTTTATTACTTTAATGCAGAGCACCAGGCAGGGACACAACAAGTACCATCTTTTAAACTCTTTTGGTATTACATCCGGGCAGATGCTCTAACCACTTCACCACAGACACAGTCCCCTTGATGAGCAGGTTGAACTAACACAACCCATGAATAAAATGAAATGTACTGAAAAAGTTTAGGAAGCACAAGTTAAGACCCAACTGTTTAACTCTGCACTCAGCAATATTCCAGCAATATTCCAGCAATATGACGGTGGTCTGGACATCATGATCATCAACCTCTGCAATTGAGATACGATGACATGCATCAACTAAGTCAGCGAGTCTGTCCACCAATTCCTGTTAGTCGCCTCTTACGACAAGCAGTTGCCTTTTACAGCAAGTATGGGTTGCTGAAGACCTATACTAACCCAGATCTTCACGGGTCTCAACAATATCTAAAATGCACCATGGCAAGAGGCATCCCTTTAAAACTGCTTATTTGATCATCTCCCACCCCCTCCTCCCTCCAGGTAATCCTATACACTCAGATGGTCCCTTTCCAATAATTTTGTCTGGATCAGCGCTTCAGATACAAATGTTCTCAACATTATTGCCCAGACAGCTGGGTTCCTGGTATATCAGGGGCCAGACTAACAGGATTTCACTACACCATAGCATGTAAATGAGACACTGCACAAACAATCAGTAAAATATATAGTGGGCTTGTCCACATGATTTGTTCTGCAAGCCCCATTCACCAAAATATGTCAATAACTGATTCTGTACATTGGTATATGAAACCATCACAACAAGTACCAAGTAATCTCTATAAATAGCTTCATTAACGAATTGGGATTCATTCACAAGTGTAGCTGACTGGCATAACTCCCCTCATCTCCATGCCGTGTCCAATTCAAGCCGCTGTATCATCCATCAGCATGTCTACAGCATCTATGTCTACAGTAACATTGATCTCATGAACCTTCACAACCCATCCCATCTCCACTAGCCAACAATTACATGGCCCACGGAACATTCCAACTCCGCAAAGACGCTTAATTACAAATGGAACCGAAAAACGAAACCGATGTGTTTGAGCTTGGTCTGATGACTGCCACTAACAATCAGACCAATTCCCTAATCTGAAAACCAGCTATTTAGCAAGTATTGAGCCATAGACAAATCCATCATTCCAATTCAGCTTATGCCGAACTTAGTTTTCCACCAGGTCATCCTTAGATGCATTGCAGAAGTTGAGACGACAGGCATCCCTATCTTTCAAAGCAACATCAAATTTAACCCAACATACAGTCTGTGCAAAAGACTTTTGAGACTACCAGCCCAAACATGGCTCTTTGCATAATTCGCAGTAGAATTTAGGGTTATTATGTGGGTTATTAATAGCTGAGCTTTCTAGACCAAACAGAATTTTACTAGATTCGGGGTCCGGACTAGTGGCTAAAGTTGCCGATGGAACATATACATACTAGGGCTGGGACAATACACCAACTGTGCAATCTGATACATATCACAATACTTTTTCTCATGATCCGATATGTATCACAATACTTGCATGTGCTCTTATCTGTTGTGCGCAAGCCATATTTTTAAAAAACAAGATTGCCAAATACCTGGCACACTGACAATTTACAGTTGGCATTGTCAAATATCCCTGTTGTTTACAACAATGACCACTTGCAAATTTACTTTTGCCCTGGAGTGATGGACTAATTTTGAAAAAGGGCACCATGAAATATAAACGTGAATTTAAAAAGAAAACTGTGTCATATATTTTTTTTATTGTTACAATGGTTTGTCATTGTTTTGAGCATACATTTTTCAGGCAAACCAAGATGCTCCTGGAGAAGTAGCTTCAATAAGAACCAAAAGGGAATGATTGTCTTACAAAGAGTTAATTAAGAAACAACATAACCATCATGGGTGTCCTGACAACAGTTCAATGACCAATAAAAAAGTGACCTGATTGTGGACAAAGCAACAGCCTGACATCCACAAGGGTGGCAGTTTCATGGTCCATTGACTCAGTTCAGACTTGACAAGAAGGTGTTGTGTCTGTAAGTTGATGCAAGCACCCTTCTTAAGTGTCAACACTTATTTCAGCTATTTCACAGAGTTACCTGAATAGAGTAACAGTCAGGTAAACTGCTTGCATATCAATGAAAAAGTTATATGGACAGTGACTCTCCAATTGTGTGCGTTAGGTACCCAGGTTGTAAACCCTGAAGCCAACCTTGCTAAACAGTATATATCAAACATAAAGCACACAATAGGTCACACTGACACAGCTGTTAATCTGTCATGTATACACTGAAGGTGAGGTGAAATGGGGTTTAACGTCGCATCCAAGATTATTGCACTTATATAGCGACGTGCATGTACGTGTGTGTGTGTGGCTGCTTGTACTAGTCCAGACTGATGCCGATTTATAGTGCTAGCTCACTGAGATAATATGCCGCAGTTTAACACGAATACCCCACTCAGACACAGTATACTGCCGACCAGTCCTTGTTTTAGCCCCTTAATGCCAAGCGCCAGACAGGGTAACAACAAGTACCATCTTTTAACGTCTGAGGGGCGGTCGGGTAGCCTAGTGGTTAAAGCGTTTGCTCGTCACGCCGAAGACCCGGGTTCGATTCCCGACATGGGTACAATGTGTGAAGCCCATTTCTGGTGTCCCCCGCCGTGACATTGCTGGAATATTGCTAAAAGCAGCGTTAAACCCTACTCACTCACTCACTTTTCGGGGATCAAACCCCAGACCTTCCGCTCTCCGGGCGGACGCTCTACCACTAGACCACAGACGCGGTCGTACATATTGTGCTTCATGATGACTGTATTGCACATGCCATAACAGATTAACTATAGTAATATGAAAGAATTGGTTATTCTTTACCTTCTTTGGAGTGGCATATTTTACATTCATATCAGCTGGTAGGAAGCAATCACAACCAGTGTTGTGTAATAAACAACCAGCATATTGAAAGTCAAACATATTTTTTTTATCACTGTATATAACTTGCATAGACCTGCATGAACCATATCTTGAACAAGACTGTATTGTAGAACAAGTGTACAGCAATAAACTGGTGCAGTTTCCTTGTTATACTCCCACTGAGAGCTACTGAATAAGCTATAATTCAGCATGTAGATGGAGTGGCAGCACATAGTATCCCACACAGATGAAGTTGATGTCATCACATATTTCATAGAACATCCATAGGGGTACGCTTTACTGCAGGGCCTTTGGCCCAAGGCCTGCAGAAATAGGACTTGTCATTATTTGATGTGGGGCAGTCGGGTAGCCTAGTGGTTAAAGCGTTCGCTCGTCACGCCGAAGACCCGGGTTCGATTCCCGACATGGGTACAATGTGTGAAGCCCATTTGTGGTGTCCCCCGCCATGATATTGCTGGAATATTGCTAAAAGCGGCGTAAAACCATACTCACTCACTCATTATTTGATGTTAGTGGCCATGTGGCCAGTCAACTCACACATACATTTATGCTGTAGTTCATTGATATTGCAAATTAATATTGATATCAAGCTAAACAAGCAGCAATGAATGTATTCACTTGCTGTTGTGGAAATCCATCTCCTCTAGAGTAGCACACACCACTGTTACAATGTGCTGCATCCCACTGAGTGAGCCCTATCTCATGACTGACATGTTTTATCAGCCATACCTTTCCTAGGAATTTATTCAATGTCTAGCATGATTAACCACCATTTTCAACCCACAAAAAGAATTTGGAGCAAATGTTTTAGCCACTAGGTCACCTCATGGAGCTGTTAAAGGAAAAACAACAAGTAAAATTGCTTAGAAATTGCTAACAAACTACCCACTTTTAATGAAAAGTTTCTTCTTGAAAGTGATCTCTATCATGGTCTCAAGTCTGACTCATTTCAAAGACTAAACTGTCAAATTAGTTCCTTGTGTCAAATTAGAACCTGTCTCTTATCAATACCGATAAACCAGAAAATGTCAGCCTTTATTAGATTA